GATTGTGGCCCTGGACGAAGACGACGGAGTAGTCCTCGAAGACCTTGTCGAGCGACGCCCGCACGACGGTCTTCGAGAGGACGCTCGTCTTCGGGACCTCGCTCGCCTTGACCGATTCGTCCTCGCCTTCCGGGACGACGTCGCGGAAGAGCCGCGTGGGCTTGGCGTCCGACTTGAACGCGCAGACGCAGGCCGACGCGTCCCAGAGCTTGCGCAGCAGCGTGTCGCCCTGGATGTAGCGCGGGTGGCCCGGGACCATGGACTCGCGCCGCAATGGCGAGTCCTTCTTCATGATGTGGTATTCGTAGTCCAGGTGGAGGCCCACGAGGCCCTTGCGCGCGTAGTCGAGCACGAGGTAAAGGTTCATGCGCACCTCCTTCGCCGCGGGCGTCTCGCCGGGCTGGGGGTAGAGGCACGCGGTGACGTCCCCGAGCGCGGAATCGACGATGCCGATGACGACCTTCACGCGCGCGCACGGCTCCTTCAACCCGGCGACGCTCGCCTTGATCTCCTTGTCCGTCTTGGCGTTGCGCCCGCCGCTCGCGCCGGACTTGCCGGACCTGTTGCTCGTGCGCGAGCCGCGGTTGGTCGACGCCATCTTCATGCCGGCGGCCTCGGCCTCGGCCGCCGTCGAATACGTCTGGCACTTGTGGGAGACCTTCGTCATCGCCCGGGAGATGGCTTTGCAATCAGGATTGAGGCAGGGGCAAGGATATTTGCGCTTGGACATGGCGTAAGCGTCGTTCAAAGCGTCGGCTCGAGTTGGTCGTTCTTCGTCGCACGTTCGTCGCACGGAATCGTCGCAGAATTGCCACAAAATCCACGAAACGAAGCAGGCGTCGAAGCATGTTGAGGCAAGTGATGATGGCGCTCTTGCGCGGGCAAGAGTGACGATGATGGCGCTTGCGCGAGGCACGGCCTCGGACTGGTGCGACGGCGCCAAGTCCGCGTGCTTCGCGTACCGCGCCGGCGCGGAGGACAAGGTCTGGTGCCCGGACTGGTCGGACCGGAGCGGCTGGACCGAGGCCGACGCCGCGACCGACGTCGGCGTCGGGAAGAAGGCCAAGGGCAACTACGTCCTCGCCACCTGCTAAGCCTGTAGGTTAAGTGTAACTTGCAGGGCAATGCCAATCTCAATCGAGAAGGTGCTGCTCGACGGCCGCTCCGCAAGGTGGGGCGAGGCCGTCGCGCGGAGACGCTGCCACTCGACAGACTCGGTTCGCTCGACGCTGCCACTCGACAGACTCGTCGCACTCGCCCGGCGCCGGACGCCGCGCGCCGCCGCGTCGCACTCGCCCGGCGCCGGACGCCGCCCGCCGCCGCGACCCATGGCCGAGTTCGACGACGGCAGCGAGTGCGCCATCTGCATGGAGCCGCTCGACGCGCGCGACGTCGTCGCGCTGCCCTGCGCCTGCGCCGTGGCTTATTGTTTTCGCTGCTGGGACCGGGCCCTGGCGTCGTCGTTCAACGCGAGGGGCCAGGCGTCGTGCCCGACGTGCCGCGTCGCCGTCGACGTGGACTTTGACGCCGACGCGCGGGGCGGCGAGGGCGCGCTCGTCTTCTCCGTCGCGGCCGACGGCGGCGCGGCCGGCGCGGAGGACCCCGACGCCGCGCAGCACCGCGTCGAGTCCGTCGTGAACCGCCTCGCGGGCCAGGCCGCGCCGCTCATGACGCGGCGACTCCGGCGCTACGGCGAGGACCACGGGGAATTGCGGCCCGCGGCGGCGGACGTCGGCGCGTACCTGAAGGGGCTCGGCGTCAAACGACTAAAGGCGCTCGCGGCGGCGTCGGGCCTCGACCCCGGCGCGTACCTCGAGAAGGCGGAGCTCGTCGCGGCCGTGCGGGCCGCGCACGGCACCGACGGCGCCGCGGCGGCCTTCGCGGTCGCGGCCGCGGGCGACGCGGGCC